GTGGCAATTCCAGATAGAGAGGTAAGGCTTTTGTTTGCAATTCGAAGCAGAGAAGTTTGGAGTTGTTATTCTGTAGGAGCAGAATAGCCATGAGGCACCAGCGCCGTTTTGTCTCATGTTGGTGTTACGCCTCGGCCCGCCCGACACCATTGCCCCAACAAGGGACCGTGCTGTCCCGATCGATGGAAGCCGTCCACCTCTATAGTGCGGGGTCAGCCCGGATTTAGCCCAGGCCCTGTTCGAGCCAAAGCACAAAAGACAAGCACAAAAGACGAAGGACTTACTCGCGGTCCAACCACTTTACGGAGCAGATGTTTAAGCTAAGGAGGGACACGTTATGTGCATCGTACGCTACGACACGTTTGATTGACTGTCGGCACTTCGAGAGCCCTCGAGGCATTGAGATAGAGATTGAACCGGGTTCGCCGACTGCCGAAATGTGCTCGCCCCGCAGGCATTACCGCAGTACCTTACTGGGTGAAACATGAGCTGCGAATTCGGTTGACCATAGCTTGTTGAGGGTAACAGCGATGTGATTCTCTTTAAACGACATCGGCCAAACGTATTACGTTGATGCTCAATTGTATATAACCCGCAGCCAATTCTCTTCCCTAGTGATCTTGTTCTTACTTCTCATAACCAAACTTTCGTTTACAACCAACCCAATCACTGTCTTCGGATCACTCTTTTTGAAACTACTATCATTAACCTGCTTCCAACATGCTCTCCTCCGCCATTTTCAAGTTCATTGCCGTCAGCCTGGCTACCCAAGTCACTGCTTTTCCTGTCAATATCAAGGTTGAAGAGCGGGCTCAAAGTGTCATCATTGGCTACAGAACAGTCAGCGCGGTATGTCTTTTTGATCGTAGTTGGCAGGATAATCGTGTTAATGCCACCTAGGAACAAGGTGCCAGGTACAACAAAGCTGGTACGCTCACCAACGACGGCAACCGTATTGGGACTCAAATTGGTGCTGGTGTTTACACCACGCCCGTTGCGGGCGGCTGGCCAGGTTCTTCGACTGACTGGTACGCATTAAGGTCAATTTCATTGCTGATCATAGCTGACCAAGCAGGTACTGCGTTATCATGGCAGATTCTGCAGCCCTCGACAAAGTCAACAAGGCTAGAATCCCCCAAAGCCATGCTAGCAAGAAACTTTGGTTCGCCGGCGACAAAGCCATCGACGCCTACATCAAGGCTGTCATCCCAAAGGGCGACCCGAAAAAGACAATTCGTATCTCCACTATTGATGGGACTGCCGGCGAGCAACAGATGGTTGTTCCTCCTGGTCTGCTCAATTCTAACAAAGGCGGCCTTGGAATTACAGCTTCATGCAAGAAAACTCTGGCTGAGCTTCCGAGCACTGTCGTTAACTTCAGTACTTGGAGTAAAGTGTTTAGGTCTGCTTAAGCGTTTCTCTTAGCCTAGGGCTCTTATTAAGGGTTAGGGTTAGGGCTAGGGCTAGGGCTAGGGCTAGGGTTAGGGCTAGGGTTAGGGTTAGGGTTAGGGTTAGGGTTAGGGTTAGGGTTAGGGTTAGGGTTAGGGTTAGGGTTAGGGTTAGGGTTAGGGTTAGGGTTAGGGTTAGGGTTAGGGTTAGGGTTAGGGTTAGGGTTAGGAATC